GACATACATCTTCATTTAAATAATGTAAAACATGCAGCTACTGAGTGTTTAGCACAGGAAACATCATTTGCTCCAGAGAACTAAAATAAGTTGGGTTTAAGTAAATTTCTTCCTTTTCACATTGCCTCCTACTACAAAGAAAGCCTACAAGTGAAGGGACAACACAGTCTCCAGTAAAATCTATTTTGCAAGTAAAATCTTTAATGGAATGTAAGCACTATAGTATAAAAACACCTTGATATTTTAAGGTTTACACAATTCCTAACAAATTATAAGCAAGGCTCCAAAATACAAGCAGGAGATGCAGAACAACAGAAGAAACAGAATATATTGCATCTCCAGCTCCTTGAAAGGGAGTCTCCCTGTGCACAGACTCTGCAAATAAATCCTGGAGAGTGTTACAACACTACACAAAACCCTGGATAGACATGCCACAGAATAACACTAAGATGAAAAAATATGCAGTGGAGGAGCTGGTGTTAATCTAATTCCAGTAAGAACACAAAAGATTCCCATTTCAGCAAACTTTGCAAACATTAAATTAATCGTGTGGCTATTTTCTCCTTCTCAGACACTGATTACTGTTAGGCTATTTAATATGGCTAATATGGCTTATTAGGAGTGTGGCTAAAAAACCCCAGTTGATTTCTCTAGGACAGATTTCTCCCTCAGCAGCTATACAGGTATACCATAGTCATATAGTTTGTTCAGTATTTTTTATACTGGAAAAATGCCCAAATTAATTGCTGGAACAACTTGACTGGTACCTTTGAAGAATACTATAGATAGTATTCTTCAATATAGTATATACTATATTGAAGAATACTAAGAATACTAGCAAGTACTATAAGTGCTAACTATCCCAAAATTCCACAAGCAGTTGAGTCAATCACAAAACTCCGTGAAAGACTAGTTAGCTGATTCAGAAAGAGGGAGAGGGAGGTTATTACTGTGTGTGAAGGTACCTTCGTCAATTCTTCTAAGAGGTCACAATCTGTTTCTCTGGAATATACATACAAATTTATAAAAATAATAATAACAAAAATGTTACACACAGATTTTTGTGCTACAGCACAATACACTGTTGACACATTTTGTCAGCATACATAGAAAACCCTCCCATAACAGCTGCAGTCAGAGCAGCACAAGCTCTGGGAGCCAGTGAAATCAGCTCCTAAAGTGGCACTGAAATCTGAAGGCTACCTGCTGCTTGGGACACTGGTAATAAGAAAGAGTCTTTCCCTTGTGGCAGGAGTCAGAAGAAAACTTTACACAAGAAAAGAGATTACACCACAGCATTGGAGAGCCTGATAAAGATCCTGAGTGCAAAAAATCCCTAGACTGCCCCAAAGTACACTTTTTGTTGACCTACAGGGAATGCAGCTAATCCTCAAAAGAAGTCTGGTGGTGCCCAAGCACAAGAAGTCAGGCATGATTCATGCAGGCTGGTAACACAATACATTTCCCAACTGAGAGAGGAAACAGGAGTAGGCCAAAATAATGTTTAAAAAAACACCTGGGCTACAGAACAACTTACACAGAGCAGTTCAGCTCAGAAAAGCAACAACATGCATCAGCCAGGGCTCCATTTATTGTTGTTACAAACCCAGATTCAAGTCCCAGCTCAAATGCAGACGATAAAGCACTTTATACACGCTTGCAGGATAAAACCCTACAAGTGTAAGTACTAAGTATTTTCAGGGGAAAAGTGGAAGGGAGGATGCAAACACTGTGAATTTCCCATTACCTTGAGCAAACAGAGGTTTTAAGATTTTTTTACAACATTTTGCCAGTCTACTCAAAGGACAGGATAGTTAACGTAACAGGCAATAAGTATTTCAATAATTTCAAATTAATGAATGAAAACTAGGTCTTGCATGACATGAGATGACATTACAGAGACATATTTGTCCATCAAATCCACATAATTCCTGCTTAAAATACAAGCTCTACCCTCCCATACAAAAGTAACAAGTAAATCCCAATAGAAATTATTTGTAACAGTACTTCAATTGAGAACACAATTATTTGTAATTTCATACAAAAGACAGCCAGATGCCCTACTGTCTCAGACCAGACATAAGTGCTCTTATGTCAGAGTCTGTTTCAGATTAAGCTCCACTCTCTGCATCCATACCTGAATAAATTCACAGAAACTTACAGATTCAAGTGGAGACACTGCAAATGCCCAGACCCCTTGACACCTTTCTCACACAACAAACTGCCTCAAAACAACAAACCAAAAAACCACCTTCTCCTTGTCATAAAGGTGAGGAATCACCTCACTCATTTCCAGATCAGGTTGTTCCTGATCTGCTAGAGCAGAACAAATGGATTTCTTTAGTAACAAACAACAAACACTTGGAAATTCTCAAAATAAGAAGTAATGCAGCTATCCAGATTGGCTGATTTTGAGGCCTTCAATTACTTCAGTTAATGCTTATAAACAAAGTGTTATGCTTCAGTAATCATATTCAGTTCCCTCATCCACAATCAGACTACCTTGCATATGCCTGCTAAAGGAACATTTATTCAGAAGTGACACTACTTTATTATAATTCAAATTACTTCAGACTTGTAAAGGCTACTCTGCACACTAAGTGTTGGATAACCTAGGAAAGCCTTTCAACTTCAATACCACATGGCAAGAGCTAACATTAACTACATTTAAATTATTCAGGCTAATGGATAAGGAGCTTTAAAGAAGAACATTCCAAATCCACGATAAGTGAACTCTGTCAGTTTTCACTTTATTTTTCCATTTTATTTATATTCATGCCATCTGGTTGTATTGATCATGCAGTTGAACAATCTTGTGTTTTTTCAAATGAAGTAAATGCAAAACTAATTTGTCTGCTAACAAATATGCTGCAAGTGCCAGCTACGAAGTCACTTACAGACTGTTACAGAATGAGCTCCAATTCACAGTAAACACATTCCACAACAAATGGAATAACAGAAGGCCAAAAGGACAACCATGCTCAAACCCATGGATCACTACTCATTTATTGAACATTATATAGTAAGATCAACTTCTGTGAGCCTCAAGCTTCAATTGATCTGTTTAGAACTTGTATCAGATTCCGCACCCCAAACCACAGCTACACACATCAAAAGAGTAAGTGAGCAAACTAAAAAAGTAACTTATCCTAAAAGCTGTCTTATGATAAACCACTTGCTCAAAAAGCCAGACTTACAGAAAATAAAACTGGCAATTGACAAAGCACAATAAAGCACTATTAAAAAAGACTGCTAAAAGTAAACAAACATTAATTTCCAAGTGGTAGAATTGTTTAAGCGACATTTGTCTTTTTTCCATCATGTTTTCAGGTAAAATTTCTTGGACACACACAGATTATGCACACCATTCCAGCTGTTAGCCTTATCAAAGATTTAATGTTTCCAAATACAAAAAACAGGCGGCTTTGGACCCAAAGATTTATAAGCAATTACCTCTCTTTTGCAATTCCAGATTACAACCCTTAAAATCACACACAGTAAAAGAAGATACTATCTCTATAAACAGAGATGGAGGTGTCAGGGGGGAAAAAAGGGTGGAAGGGGGCTTTTAATTTTTAGTCATGGATTTCAGTCCTACATTTTAGGTATCAAAATGCGTTTGTTTCTTAAACAAAGCTACAGGAAGACTATATAAACCAACAAATAGGTAAAAGTCTAATGTGCATCTAGAAGAGAACTGCAGTAACCAAATGACAGCAAAAAGGCCTTCTCTATGTCTCTGCTGAAGCAGTTAAGCTTAATGGAGATGTGTGTCTCCAGCTCACACCAAACTTTTTAATTTGTAGCTGGTACACCTATGCATGGCCTCCAGCGTATGGAATTAGATCAGCTCCCGAAATGCTCCAGGAAGTACTGCTACAGTAGTCCTAGCACTGATTTAGCCACACACGATTCAGCACCAGAGCATCACTGCCATTTATGCAACTCTGTCACTTATAAATGCTTTAAATTTACTGTCAGAACTTCAAGAACCCAGCCATTCCTGTGTTCCTATTGCTTGTGATCACCTAATATAAGTAACAGCAGGTTATAATCTTTTTGTTTGTTTCTTTAAAGGTCTGTACTGAGCTTTATAACTAGTCCTGTACTTGTTCTCTCTATAGTATCTTCTTCTCTTTAAGATCACCACAGCTTTGCTTTATATTGAGAAGTTGCGTTTTGGACACACATCTTTGTCCGTCCACTAAGACGACAAAGTTGAGCAACAAAAAGTAAAACATCACAGCAAATCCCTTTTGCTTTCAACAGATCCCAACACAGCATTATTAATTCCACAGTCTGGCTCCAACTCCGTAAAAATTTTACACTACAACTAGACCAAAACCAGACCTTCCTCGGGACTTCCACAGATGCAAGTCAGCCTGTCCACACCCAACAAATTGCAGGACCTGGGCCTGTCACCATATCGGCATAAATTAGGGCTTGTCAAACAGGTAGGACATAGCAACATGAGTTATTTTATTGAAACAAAGGTAACTGTTTCCGCTGTCCCACCTCACAGCGAAAAAAATAATAGTAATAATCACAAACATGACATTTCTCCCCGTTTATTTTGGGAGCCTCTCTGTTTTTCATTCTTTAGTTATCCAAGCTAACTTCATAGGAGACGGATACTAACGTGACAGAAAAAGGAGCTTAAAAGCGGAGCCCTGTCATGCAGGGACAGCAGTATGTGCAGCCTCAGCCCTCCCCTGCCCCCGCCCGCACCTGCGGCGGCCGCGCCGGGGGACACCGCTCCGACCCTGCGCCGGGCCACCTCCCCGCCGCCCTTATGCCAAACTCAGCTGGGAAAATAAACAAGTCAAACAAAAGGAAGGAGAGCGGGCGCAGAGGGGAACGGAGCCCGGCCTCGGGACGCGGCGGCCGGGGAGGGTTGGGGTCGGGTCGGGCAGCGCCGGTTGCCCGGGCACCATCTTGGGGGCTGCCGGGGGCGAGGACGCGGCCCCGCAGCGCCGCCGGGGGCCGGCCCGGCGCTTTACCTGCTCTGCCAGCCCTGCAGGAGGTTGGTGTATTTGCTGAGCGTCCCTTCCAGCACCGACTCCCGCCGCCTGCCGCCGCCGGGCGCCTGCGCGCCCCCCGGGCTGGCCGCCGCCGAGCCGGGGCTGCTGCTGCCGCCGCCCCCGCCTCCATCCAGCCTGCCCGCGGCCGCCGCCCGGCCCGGGAGCCCGCGGCTGGCGGAGGAGGACGAGGGGGACGAGCCCGCCGACGTGGGGCGGCTGCTGCTGCGGCTGCTGCTGTTGCTGCCGCCGCCTTCGCCCGCCGCTTTCTCCATGGAGCCCCGCGGCGGAGGCTGCCCGTCCGCTCCGGCCCCGGCTGCCGCCCGTGCCCGGCAAAGCCCTGACTCACAGGCGGCGCGGAGAGGGGCGGCGCCCGGGGGAGAAGGGGCTGGGCCGCGGCGGGCGAGTGAACCGCCGCGCCGCCTCCTCCTCGCCAGGCGTTGCGGGGAGCTGGGCGGCGGTCGGTGCCCCGAGGCTCCGCGGGGTNNNGGCCGCGCAGGGGCGGGGGCCGCACGCACACACGCGGAGGCACAGGGCGAACGGGGACAGGCACAGCACGCACACCGACTGCATGGTGCCCGCGGCCGGCACACACACGCCGTGCGACACGGGGAGTGACCCCGAAGGACACGGTGGCCGGGTGTGGGGCGGGCGTGCAGACCCACGCGTGTGGCGGGGGCAGAGCGCACACCGAGACCGCCTCCGGCCCCGGCGGCCGCACCGCGCCCCCCGTGACGCGCCCGCCACATGACAGGCACTCACCCGAGCAGCGGCGGGATGTGCGCCGGGACAGCGGCGGACAGCGGGCTGCCCGAGCCACAAAACGTGCGGCTGACACTTGCACAAGCTGTGCCCCGTCGCCACCGAGGAGGTGACTGTCCGGGGTACACTACACCGCCCGCACTCGTGAGCTGGGTGCTGTGCCCAGCACTCAGGAGCACACTATTCCTGCTCAACCCACAGCAGGTAGTGTGTATCAACATACCACATGAGTCATGCCATTCATCCAGAGTTTACAAAAAAATACTACAAGTCCACACCTCCTGAAAGGAGAGGATGTAACCTCAAGATCACCATAACAAGCTAAGCAGATCCTGTACAGTCCGCCCAGACCCACGAATCACTTCTTTGGCCATCCTTGCTGTCTTAGACAAGTGCCTCAGTTGTGTTACAATGTGTATCTTCCCAGCATACCAGAGATGTAACTATTCTTCTTGTCATTTTACAATTGTAGATCTGAAATATAGAGAAGACTCAAGAGTCCTTGAAAAGCATAAACGGAGCCTTAGCTTTTCTGCTTTAACTCTGTGGAAAATTTTAACAATCCTTTGTACTAGAGATATTTCAAGTGTAGAGTATCACATGTGCCTTCTGTTCTGCACCTCAGAAGATACTCAAACTATCCAAATCCACACACAGTTAGATATGTACATTCCCCATATAAATCAGCACAGAGACGAGGGATCCTAACTTAGATTCTCCCAGTTTTCTCTCTGAAAAATCCTACCATATGTGTTGTGGTTGGGTAGCTGAAATGTTGGGCAACCTGATCCTGAATTTTGGGTGGTTAAACTTCTCATGTTGTAGTTAAATACTAAGGCACTGCAGTCTGGAAACTTGAATTTTAATATTTCATGGGTTGGACATATAACACTCAACTCTTGCGGAACAGAAAAAGATTAATAACTATTTTTAAAAATAAAATATTTTAGAGTAACTATTTTTCCATGTCTGTTACTTGAAATGGTCATGTAAAATTCCCAAATCATTGTTCACTATGGAAAGAAACTCATTTCCACAACATGAAAATCCTCATTCTTAGGCTCAACTCTACTTTTGATGACCACAGTTTTCAGGAAACATTTAAATGAACAAGGAATTCTCCTTTGGGAAGCTCAGATCCTGCTTGGTGGAAATAAAGATGAGATCTCTTCACTTGTCTTCATAATGTTACAATGACAGGCCAAAATTGTGTAACAATTTTGTCGCCACATCAGCCACTTCAACACATTTCATGTGTATGTTCTACATTACAGGTAATCAATGTAATATTTTCTGCCTTCCACAGAATTCATTGGAACATAATTATTTCAGAAATTCATCAGGGAAAGAAAGTGACCTTACACAAGAACAGAGAAGTCTCTCCATACATTTCTGTACAATAAAACTCAATTAGCAATGGTGCACTTATTAGCAAGTTTCTGAAATAAAAGGGCTAACAGGCTGTAAGTGTATTATGCCCCCAGAAAGTCCTGCTAAATCATAAAACATGCTTCACTGCTGCTAGAAGGATTGCTGTGATGTGGTAACATAAGAATTCCTGTTGTAGGTTATAAACTAGTTACTACATGGGAAATGAAGCACAGGAATAAATGAGCAATTCTCAAATAGAGGGAAACCACTATGAGTTGGGTTCCGTGTTGTTCAGTATCTTCTTAAATCAGAATCTCTTAATTTGCTTATAGTTAAAACTAGAATCAAATGTGAAAAAACAGCAGAAGGATATCACAGTAGTGACTAAATCACTGATAAAATGGCACCTGAAATTTAATCTTGCAAAAAGCCAAAGTAAAGCACACGGGGAGAAAATAGCTTTTACTACGCAGGCATGATGATCTATAAATTAGCTACAGACTCTCAGGCAAGAGATGTTGGAGACATTTTAAATAGTCCTCTGAAAACTCCATCCCAGTCAGTGTTCAAGGGTAATCAAACAAACAGCTGTGATAAGCTCATTAGGAAAAACAGAAATAACAGCTTGCTGCTATATAAATCCATAGTACAGCCAGTATCTATACAACCCTTCATTTATAATATTCCTTCAAAAGGACAGAGTAGAAAGAAAAAAGTGTAAATGCCAGCTTTTATAGGAAGAGAGCTCACTGAGCAGTGTTTTCAGTTGAAAAAGAAACAACCAATGTTTAAAATGATATTCAGGTTAATAGCAGTTATTCTTCACTGTTTCTTATGAAACAAGAACTATGGGGCAACTGGTTTAAAACCAGCACAAGAAACTACTTTCTCTTATGATTTACACTCATAAAACTCATTCTTATGGAGATGGGTTTGGATGCTAAATATCTAGAAGGATTAAAAAAGCATTTATTCTTGAAGAACCTTTAAACAAGGTTGAGCAAAGTATTTTGGGTGTATTTGAAGTTCACAAAGGCTCTAAACTTCTGGCTCCTCAAAGACTATTTTTACTTTATTGATTAATTAATCCCTCCCCTGTTCTTAGTCTTTCTCTAAACACCTACTTGTGGAAGGAATTAAGTGCTGGTCTAGAAAGACCTTTGGCTTAACCTATGGTATAGCTTTTCATATACTAAGGATTCCTTCTTCTTAGTCAAACAGTGTGGTTGAGTCAAACTCTGACACAGTTTGCAACTTTTATATTGTATTGAAGCAAAAGAATGTGTCATTCTTCTCATCACCTTTCCCTTCCTAATTTGTACATATTGCAGCCTAGCAGAGCTGGACAACCTTTCATAGCAATCTTGATATGAGTGAGCTCCTAACCTCATTTGCTTTAAGTTATTAATGGTCTTTAAAATGACTGAACCTGTGTTTATTTTACTAGCTAATGGTTTGTCCCAGTAGAGCTAGAGTTCAGGGTAATACACACTGACTTAGTCTGATGCAATACCACATGATGTATGCCTTGTTACAAGTATTCTTAATTACCTATTTATTAATGCAACCTGCATGATGAAGGTTCACACTGTTTCCAAGGTAACACAGCTGCTATGTTACAGTCCTCCTTTAGAACATTACTTCCACTCTCTGACCAAATCAAAATTTTGCTTCTTTTATTAAGAATCCAAAAGAATCAAAATAACTCATTATTTATCCCACCCTTTAGAAAGCAAAACATCCAGTAAGATAACAAATTCAGTACTCTTCACTCTTCTCAGGAAACAGAGACCTTTCTCTGTCCTTTGCTAAACTACACAGTTTTAGCTTCTAGAACAAGGTCAGCTCATAATCCATTTGCTAACTTATGTTTCCTGGACACATTGGTTTGGGTTTCTCTACCATTTACCATCTCCATGGTTTCTCTACCATTACCATCCTAGTAAACAGTTTTCTCAAATTACTTTCCAATTTATTTTCATCTCCTTCCACCACTAGGTTTCCACAGAACTTTCCACTATCACAATTGCATGGAGGAATTTAGCTATATGGTCTACAGAAACTATTTCTGCCCAGCCTACATTCAACTGTTGAACATTGAAATGTCCCAAGGCTTGCTCAGCTGTACCATCTCTCCTTTCTTGCCCTACAGAGTCCTTCTGAGACACTGCTTCATTTCACTTGAGCCTTGGAGACTAAATCCATCTGTCACTAAACTGTAGGCAATGCTTATGGCAAAAACATACCACTGTGCACTTCTTTCCCCACTGTCTAGAGGTGTCAGCATCAGAATGACTGGAACATTACCCCTGAAGTTCATCTCATGCCATGGTAACACCTGCACCAAGCCTGCTGTCACTAAGGCTTCCCAATTGTCCACAGCAACTGGAAGGAGTGAATGTAGCAGGCGGAACAGTATGCACCAGCATGTCCTTCAGTCCTTTCTTAGATTCAGTGTCATAGGTTCCTGGGTTTGAAGGTTTAAAAGAAGCAGTGACTCTCTAATCAGGCCTTTTAAATAACACAGTACAACAATTGTAATATTCTCCCTTATATAGTTGTTAGAAGTAACCAGCACATCATCCATGAGTAGCAGGCTTCTCACCCGACGATTTCAAGACCTCAGAGAAACAGTCACTAACTCTTCAGTCTGCCAACTTTAGCTTTGCTTTGCTGAGTATCCATCTTATCCTCCCTCCGTGGTGCATATAAGCCCGCAATGTACGCCAAACATGCTGCTTTGCCACACTTCATCCCGTTGTCGGCAGCTTCTCATCCACCAGCATAACCACCGGTCTAACCCCACTCAGCTCAAAGCTGGTGACAAGGGAAACAGCCAAGAGAGACATGGCATATGGCAAAGAGCACCCAAACTACCTTTACTGCCAGGAACACTGAGCCTAGGAGACAGGCACTTGCCTGCAGGTTAATATACTCAACCACAAGGCACTGCATGTGGGCTGAGGCTTCTGCTGTCACGGCTAGACTCTCACAGCTTGTTTACCCAGCTACAGTGCACTGCTCTGTAATTTGCAGGTTACACCAGCTGAAACAAAACTTGATCAAAATGGCTGATCCTCTGGAATACAAACTTTGGGATGGTTAGCTGGAGAAAATGCTAGTTTATATTATGCATGTTATGTATATATTTGCATTGGATGTCATTAAATGTGCATGAGGAAGTGATGTGTATGACA